TAGGGAATCAGTTTCTGTAGGGCTCTCCACTTTCATGATTGATCTTAACCAGGTTGCCAAGGCAGTTAACAATGCCACAGAGAGATCCTTGGTACTTATTGATGAGTTTGGTAAAGGGACCAACACACTGGATGGCCTGTCCCTTCTGGCTGCTGTCCTGAAGTACTGGATCAGACAAGGAACGCAGTGTCCACAGGTCTTTGTCTCCACTAATTTTCACAGTTTAATGCAGCTAGAACTCCTGCCTGACACACCTCTTCTGGAGTACCTGACCATGGAGACCCACCAGGATGGAGATGAGCTGATATTTTTCTATCAGATCAAACAGGGCATGTCCACTGTTAGTCATGCTGCCAACATTGCTGCATTAGCAGGAATGCCAGCCAAAATTATTGAAAGAGGAGTGGAAGTGTCAGAATTGATTCGCAATGGAAAAGCTATCAAACGTATTGATGATCCTTCAAAAGATGAACGGATGGAAAAATGCAAATCTGTTGTGGAAAAGTTTCTTTGCCTAGATCTTGATGATCCCCATGTGGATTTAGAAGAGTTCATGTGTAGAGAGGTGCTGCCTTCTGCAGCCTCAGTCATGTAACAAGTGTGGTGTGTGTAAAAGCATAGATTACATAATGTCTACCATGTTCAGTCAGAGTTTGGTAATCTGAAGAATGATCGCTATGACTAATGCCTCACACTACAGTACTACATTGTAACATACTGTCTATAGTTACGACCTTTTTTTAAAAAAAAAACAACAAACACAAAACCCCACCAAATACTGTAGTTACATATCTCTACAATATGGTGTATGATATGAAAGGAGGAAGACTGAAAGAAGATAATTTAAGAACCTCTTCCAGCCATGAAGTCAACAACTTTGTGCATTTTCTGCCCTTGTTAGATCTTCAGATTAAAATAATACTGTAGAAAAATCACAAAACACTTCTGCTGATCTCATAACACGGTGAAAGCAAAGTGTTTATTGCTTTGTATTGTGCCAAAGGGATCCTTTCAGCCATTTTAGGATCAGCATCTAAGATTCCAAATAAGTTATGTGCCCCAGACTCCCATATCAGCAAGTAACAGTTGTCACAATACAAACCACTGATCTACAGGCTGATAAATGTAAATACAGAGAGATTTAATGAGCTCTGTGGCTCTTCTTATGCCAGCATTCCTGTTTAAAATGCCAGAGATCCCAGGAGCTACTGTAAAAATAATTCTGGAGGTAATAACCAGCAGGGACTGATAAAGGAGAAGTGTTTTGGTTATACTGAGAATCACTCTCTTCTCATGAGGTCCTATATGGTACAGCTATGTATCTATGTATATGGGTATAAATAAAAGCAGAATTACAAATCTAGGAAACTGAAAAGTATACTAGGAATGTAATACCGAAATTCACATTCTATATTCTATTTTTTAGTATTGAGTAAAACTTAATATTAAAGGAGTAATACCAGAAGGGGGAGATGTCCCTTCACTTCTCTTGTCATCTTTACTGAACACAGTTTTTGATGCATGCACATGCAACAAAAATTCATTGATAAATTAATGATGCAGGAGACATATTATCTAAGTACAACAGAAGTAACAGCCATTCCTGCAATAAGTGCCTGAGATTCCTTACCTAAATAAGACAGAAGAGACATGAGTTAGCTTATTGTCTGACTGCCAAAACTTGCTGTAACTTCTTACAGTATGGCTAATAAAAGACATCAGCAGATGTACTACATCTCTCTTCAGCTATCCTTGATTTCGAGAAGCCAAAAATAGTAATGTCACATAAACTGAGAGAAGATTTACGTGCAAAGAAAGTAATTACCTTTATAATTATCAGTATTAAACATCTGTCATGTCTACCTGAAAACAGCAACAAGATAAATGTGACTGCACAGCAGAAAGATTTCAATTTGGAGACATTGCTTTCGGTTTGATTCAGTGTGGAATTTTCCCTCCTTCATGATGAAGGAATTGTTATTATTACTATTATTATTACTATTGCTATTATTATTGTTATTAAATAACTTATTTAGTAACTTATATGTTATCTATATATGAAACTAAGTGGCAAAAATTTTACATAATTTACATTAAAAAATACAAGAATAAATAACTGAATCATGCAGTTATTGCTATTTCCAGTGCAATCATAATAATACTGTCTCCAAAATAGTACCTAGCACCCTATGATGTTACTGTTGAAGCTGAATGGTAATAGTGAATCAGGCCATGTACAACACTTGTGTTGTAAATACAAATGGATTTTTCTCACTAATATATTCTCTTTTACTAATTATACATACAGCATTCTAAAGATATACAGTACAGAAGAATATGATACATTAAGTATTCATAAATTATATTTTTTGGTATTTTTTCTTGTCAACCACTGTATAGGCTAAGGATATGCTCCACAGTAATTAAGCACATGCTGTCATTAGATGTCAGTCATCTTCTACTTATGAAATCCATTTCACAGTATCTGCAGTTCTAGCAGTACTAGGTATATCAAAGGATATCCAAATGTCATACAGCATTTATCAAGTGTGCCTCACAACATGCCCTGAGGTAAACAGCAGTCTGGACGAATGAAAACCACAAGGGTTGTGACAAACCTGAGGCCACACAGCAGGCTAGGGAAAGAAGCAGGAACAGAAATGTTATCTTCAAGTGCAAAACTCCAGTTGCTTCTTTCATTGTATTTCACTAGGTTCTTTGAATAGAAGATGATGCTAACTCGATTCTTACCATTCAAACAACTGGGGAAACAGCTGAACACGTGCAAGTAAATTATATCCCTTTACGTCCTTCCACAAGGACACCTAGGAGCACACTGTATCTCCTTATTTTGGGGAAGTTTCCAGTGGCACAATTGATCTCAGAATTGCCCAACTAAGCCTGAAGAATGAGCTGCTCCCACTTCTGACTAGGTAAATAAGTTCTTTAACCTGAGAAGCTGAAGGGAGTATAGTAACCCAGACAACTCTTCTCTAAACCACTTCATTTCACATTCTTACCCTTTATTAATGGCTGTTTCCAAGTTTTTTGCATTTACCATTTTTAGCTTAGTGTTGTGTCTTCAAAGTGGAAAGCTGATTTCTTAAGATACTTACTAATTTTAAATTCTCAAATTTTTTGCTTTGTAAATAATATTAACAGTTTGGGAAAGTTAAAATCTTTGCAGAATACATGCATTTCAAAAATTCTTTTAGCTATATTAAGGTTTTTAAAAACAGGTTATTTTTCTTTTCAAAGATAACTTTGGTGGGATTTAGATGCCATTATGAGGAGAATTTCTTAATATTGATTCAAATAAGGAAACTTGCATTTTAAAAAATATTAATATAGCTATAAAGCGGTAGCTGTGAACTATACTCAACTACTTTGTTTGCTCTTTTTTATGCTTTCTCATGTAATCTTCATCCACACCCCCTTTCTTGTTTTTCATACTGTTGTATGATCTGAAAATGTAATTAGACATTATATTAAAACATATTACAAAATAGTTACGCCTTTTGTTTCATGCTCTTATTATTTTCTGAAAATGCATAAAACTATCTCACTAAATGCACTGATACAATAAAACAAAAGATAGCAAACACCAATGCTTATGCCTGACAGTGGATTGACAAGAGAAAAATTTAGAGGTTTATTTATAGAAACATGGTATGTTTCTATACAGTGTATCTTTATAAAACCATAGCTGCTGCATTATCCAGCATTATGGAGGACTCAGGAAGATGATTTGTAATGACACTGACCTGGTTCTGTCAGAAGTAGTAAACATCAGAACACAGAAAGTATGCATCCTGACTAATAGCTCATGCAAGGTAGAAAAATATAAACAAAACAAAAAAACAGCCCCCCAAAACCAACCAAGAAACAGAACAGCAAAACCCCCACCCTGGCTTTCTCAGATGTTTTAACCGGAGGTATATTACTGAGCAGCCAATACTGTAGAAGAGCTGTGGGTTTTAAAAATGAGTGTTAACAACTGTTAATACAAGCAAAAGCTTATGTGAGCTTACAAATTTAGTAGCTATAATATACCACCTACAACTTGTGGAAAAGTCCTTATTTCTGTTTCAGAGCAGATATGTGTGCTCTTGAAGTTTCTCAGATCTCACCATCTTCTTTCAACTGATTTCACAGTACTAAATTAAAATGTGCACCTTCAGCATTTCTAGAGCTATTTCTAATGAAATTTTTAAGTGTTTTTCTTTAATACTTAAAGAAAAAAAAAAAAACACCTCAAAATATTTACATTATGTACTTCAATTCTTATTTATTTTCCCTGGAAATTATTTTCCTGGTCAATGTTAAAGGATCACGTTAAACATTCTAGATAATGTCAGAAAAGAAAAAAAAAGGAGGTATACCTTATGCTAAATAATACAGTATTTCTGTTAAATTAGTATGCAATAAAATCCTAGATACACTAGTATTGCTCATATATATTTATCATCACAACCTACTTTAATGTATTCGTGTATTTTTTACAAAAAGCTTATAAATAGGCAGGAAATAAGTACCTGCAAGAGAGACTATGGAAGATGTGTTTTATCCCTACTCTGAAATTCACCAAACCATATTCAACAGACTGAACTGACAGTCTGCCTATTATATATAATACAAATTCCACTGTTTATTAGCTTATTTCCTCCCATACAGGAAGAAAACAAAAGTATCCGAACAAACTGCATACATATAATCTATACCCTCATAATAATTCTGTAATTTTGAACAAGTACTTTCATCCTGTGGTCTTGCCTAACAAAAACAGAAAATAGTACCAAGAATATCAAGAGTGGTAAAATACAGGTGTATGACAGATGTACTGATTATTTTATTCTTTAAAACTCCAGTATTATAAAATCTTACCTCTTCAGCTGGCTACAAAGTAGAAAGGATGATGCTATTGCATAAGCAACTCCTTTCCTCGACTCCAAATTAAAACTTTCTAGATTGCTGCTGAGCCATGTGAAATGTGAGCTCACCTGCTTACGTAGTGGTGTGGATTTTGACAACTTCATGAAGGTCAGATGTGGTTTAAAATCTCTTTCTTCTCCTGCCAAGATGCCCTTTTCTTGAAATATCTTCTTCATAGTCTCTGAGAGAAGAAAAAATGTAGAGGTACAAAGATGTTGCATGACAGAATGCTTAAAAATGTGCTTACAACTGTAATATGAGTTACAGCCACTCCACATAGAAGAAACAAGATGATGAGTACTTTAAAAGGCAGAGAGATTGCTAGTTAACTTCAAATGTACATATTATTTCACATGGAAAATAGTCTTATATTTGCAGTTAATATAGGTCATAAATTTGGCTTTACTGAAATAATGGCAAGTAGAAAGCTGTCCATGCTGTCTGCTTTTGCTACCAAAATAGGAACATGACAGAACTGTTCAGGAGGTACTCTCACTGGAAGCTTTGGAAACTTCAGGAAAACTCAAAAGTATCTAACAGAATTATCTCTCTTCAAAAGCACTGTTCTGTGGCGAATTCTATTATGTATATTTGGGTAACCTCTCACTCAGACCAAAGGAAATCTGAAACTGAAAGCTCAGAGTTCTTGCCCTGGATTTACATGGCAGAATTAGAGAACATACCAGGTATGCTGATGCTTTTTGTTTGCTGGGTTTTTTTTTATGCTTCACTGCTGCCTTCCAAGCTGATTTACTGTTTTGAATGTATACTTTTATCTGCCTACAGAAAAATCTTAAAACCCATTTTTTTACTTGCAAGTACAACTTCCAATTTTCCAGCAGCTGTAGGTCTAGCTGACTCACACTATCCTTGAACTAAAATCAAAATGGGGGAAAAAATAATCAATCCTATCACATGAATTTCATCAACCCTTACTATAACCATCTATTTGTGTTTAACTGTGTTATTTGGCTTGACAGTTCAACTGTAACAAAAAGATCTGGTGCTTTATTCTCCCAACTGGAAGAAAATACATTACACTGCAAAGTGAACAGCATAGCTGGCTGAATAAAAAAAAAAAAAAAAAGGAAGTCTCAAGGAATGGGCATACAGCACATAAAGCTGGCTAGCATAAGTCTGCCAGCTCTGCTTCTGTAACACGTCATTCCAGAATCCTTACTCTTACCATTTTTTGTTTTCTATAGTAACTATTTAAGTGAGCTACTTTGACATCACACTTAAGAAGAGATTTTACAAGCTTATGCATTACTTTGCAACAGAAAAGTTCTAGAAGCAGCTCAGAATATTCATTTGGGACATGGAGATCAAAATTCACTTCACCTTCTCTGCCATATATGATTTATAACCTTAGGCTCCATAGGCTGTGCAAAAGTTGGGATTCTGAAAGGAGTCAAGGAAACCAGACCCAAATGCCATCTTTTACACAGGCCCACTTGAAAATTCTCTTTTAATGTCACTCCCCACTTTGAAGATGCTAATGTATTTTACTAAAAAAAATAGCCCAACCTTTTATTCTAACTCACAGGATGCCAAAAGGACAACCAGATTAAAACTAGTGAAGGATTTACACAATAGTAATAGGGGTTATGTTACCGTGGCAGATGCTGATAAAACCTACCACAATGGTTGAGGTGGGAAGGGACCTCTGAAGGACATATGGTCCAAACCCCCTACTCACATAGGGCCACCTACAGCCAGCTGCCCAGGACTACGGATGGGTTTTGTGTATCTCCAAGGATGAAGACTCCACAATCTCCCTGGGCAACCTGTGCCAGTGCTTGGTCATTCTCGCAGTAAAAATGTGTTTCTTAATGTTCAGAGGGACCTTTCTGTGCTTCAGTTTATGCCCATTCTCTCTTTCTACCCATTGCCCCAGGTACATATACATGTACAGGCAAGCATAACTGCTATATAGATCTATTATAGACCTATATATCTAAATCTATACACTACATACCTAGATGCATAGACCTACTATTTATCTGTGGATACAGCTATATATCTATCCACAAGTACAGCTTACCTACTTGTATTATTTTAAATTGTGCCTGTGGGGAACATTTCTAAATTTAAACTGAAGCCCCATTAAGCTATTGTGCAGCTCTGCACACGAATGCTTCTGAACAACTTTATTAACATATCAAAATAGAAGTCTACAAATAAATGTTTGCAGCTTCTTCAAACTGAGATACAGAAGTTCAAATTAAGTCATTTAGTTATGGTGTGCACGTATTCCCATGCATCTAACAGACTGCTTATTTTCTATGTTGGTAAGCTAATAAAACCCTACATTTATTTAAAACTGAAATTACCTGTAACAAAGCCATTTTCTGGTCCCTGTGTTTGGACTTCTGAACTGCATAATTTGGGGACTCATTGACTTTGATGTTGCAGCAAAGGATTAGTCTTACCAAAACCAGGTTTACACTACCCTGTGATATTCTGGCTCAGTCTTGTGGACTGTAGTCTTTTTTTTCTCCCCTAAAAGATCAAATTCCTTTTGCCATTGTGTCTTATACCATGCAGTGCCTTATCTCCCAGTCTGCAATTAAGATCTCTGCTGGGAAAGATTTGTCCCTTTGAGGGTGTCCCCCTTACCCCAGTAAGAACTTAGTGTCAGACCAGTGGTTTGCCAATGTGTGTCTATGTGCATGTGTCCACATATGTTCTCATGATGATCAGACTTCTCACACAGTTTTGTCACGGCATAGTTATCCTAAACATCACAGGCTCAAGGGATCAGCCACACCTGCTGGTACTATAAATATCTCCAGTTTTGAAGTTTTTGACACTTGGGGAAAGTGTGACATTTTACTGGGTAGGTGACTTGGAAACATAATTAGCACAATGTTTCCTTCTTCTAAGATAATGAATAGAAAGAAATCTACGTAGATGGGGGAAGAGAGTGGGGAGGGAGAGGAGAAACAAAGGGAAATGTTTTCCTGGCAGCACACAAAGGTTAAAAGATAATGCAATACTATTAATAGCCATGCAGCATTTTGAAGAAGTGGCCACAAGAAAGGTTTAAAATAAATAGGGGAGGAGGGATGGATGCTGTGGGCAAGAGAAAGTTCCAGACTTTTGGGACAGCATGAAAGTGAATTTGAAGACTGAGCAAATACAGGAAGGTTAAAGTTTATAGTAGGGATTGCCTGAACTGAAAGAAATTAGAGGCCACTGACAAGTCACAGACAGACAATGGGTCTTAAGGATCTGCCATCTTTCCCCACTCATCATCATTCCTAGCCAGACAGAAAAATCGAACAAGATCTGTGTTTTCCTTTATTAGTCTCAGGATGCACAATGTTTGCAACTTCAAGTACACCCTAGAAAAGTCTAAGGCTATTTTTACAAGCTCAATGACTTCCTGGAACAAATTTTTGGACAGCTTTCAGGATGTCTTTCATGCAATCTGAAGTACTCTGCAATACCATTTTGTACCTTATTTTTATAATGTCAAAATTACTGAATGTCATCTGCCTCCCTTACACTGGATGCAGCTGAATCCATTATACAACTGTTTCCCCATAATTAGACTTGAAATGTGCTACATGAAACTTACTCAGAACTACTACATACTGGAAAGGCTCAAAAATTCAACAGCTAGATTAATACAGAATGATTTATGGAAAAAATTGCACATTGAGCCATATTCTTCAATACAAAGGGCCACCTTCCTTTTCCAAGATTTCATGAGATATGGAAAACTGCAATGTGTGTACATTTTCTTCCAGTCTATTAATTTCTGCTTGTCACTAGGAAATGTTCCCTCAATTAAAATGTTTAGAATTTATAAAAGGTATTCTGTCTTGTTACTGACAAATTTTTGCCTTCACATTTTGAACAGAAGAAAAGCCAAACATTGAAAACTTATAACTATCAAGTTAAGCTGTGTTAGATTTTTTAAGTTCATCATTTTTAAGAGTATTCTGCTGGCTGACAGCAGAAGTTCGGGGTTTACAAAGAAGGTCTTCTGGTCAACCTTTCTTTCCTAATAGCACTGAGAATAATGCTGATGCTAATATTTTGCATGACCTCAACTATATGTTACCAGAGGAGACCACCCCAAATTAAAGAAGTATATCCTAGATATCATGTTATGCTTGAAATATACAGTATATATTAAAATATATAATATACAATCAAAGGCTGCATCAAGCACCAATCTCTCTGCCATGATCTAGCTGAAGATATTCCTGCTCATTACAGGGGAGTTGGACTGGATGTCCTTTGAAGGTCCCTTCCAACCCAACTATTTCTACTATCCTACCATTAAGACCATTATGAAGGATAGGATCAGCATGTGGAATGTCCCTGGCTGCTGCCTGGCAAAAACTACTGACTCCTGAGCACCTCAGCAATCCCCAGTCTCTGATGAGAAAAAAAAAAAAAGGTGGCTAAACCAGGGTCAGGCACTACCTCTTGTGCTGGTGATTTTTATCCACAGGATGTAAGGAAAGGAAAGGCCTTGTTTCTCATATCTTCATATGAAAAGTGGATATTTTTTCTCCCCCTCAGTACTAGCAGTTCTCTAGTTGTTAGGTTTACTCTGCCAAAGCAACATCAAAGTAATAGCTTTTTACTGTGCCAAAAGGTAAAACAGAACCAAGCCAATTTCCTGATGATTCTTCCACTGCTACTTGGTTCTTTATTACTTGGGCTTTTTCACACTGAGTTGCCACTGTACCACACCACTATCATGTATCAGTGAGCTATATGATTATTTCAAATATGGATCAGCAGAATGCATAGGTTCTGTTTCTGTCACCATACATACATATAGAAGATGTGCTCATTCAGTTCATAAAGTAGAACCCAAGGAACAGCTGGACCAAGCAATCCCCACTTTGTGCATGGATGCCAGTATGTAAGGTAAGCCTTACAAGACAAACAATGATAATGTGAAGGCTCAAAGTGCTAGACTGAAACAGAAACTTAGGTGGCATTTCTTGATGCTACCTAAAAATTTAGTTACCTAAAAGTTAGTTCTTTTACTGGCTTTAATCTGGTCCAATACATCCTAAAAGTCTGTTGCAATCACAAAAAGAAGTGTGTGAAAGTACCATCTTTTAAATCACAAAAAACATATCTAACCACTTCATTTTAATGAGGCATTTATCAGAGTTATTCAGTGTTTGGCAGCATAATATGAAGAACGTA